CACTGCAATTATAGTGCACCATCCATCCAAAAAGTACAAATATTTCCCACAGACCAAATGAACAGTTTTCCAATAACATGGGTTAATTTGGGTTAATATGGTTAAATGAATTAATATGGGTTATTTAGGACATTGTTTTTCCGAAAGCCATAAAGAAACAAAAAGGATTTGAAGAAGATGACGACGACATGGATGAGAAGGAAGAGGAGAAAGAAGTAAACTGTATAAGCAATTCTCTGTGATTTCTCAGTTGCTCTGGATTCTGTACATGACCAATGGCATCATCGTAGCAATTTACTGAGCTGCTATTTAGGAGCTATAGCCAAGTGGGTAAACCTAATAGGCAGAGTTACTGATTTCCTCTCATAAGAAATCATGGCATCATACATCATGCTGGACTTGGAGTGAAGAAGACTTATGTTTCAATTATATTTCTAATACTTAATAGCTATGCAACATGCAGAAAGTCTCTTAATCTTTGGAACCCCACCTGCAAAATACAGAGGCAGTATGGTTTGGTGGATCTCAGGGTCAAGAAGTCCTGGGTTCTAGTCCAGCCTGAAGTAAAATGACTATGTGACCTTGAGCAAGTCACTTAATCTCTCAGGGTTCCAGGCTGTTATTGTCCCAGACTTAAGTTACTGAGCAGGTGCCAAAATGAATTAGTAAAGGACATTTCCTTAGTAGCTAAGGATAAAATCATAGGCCCAGTTTTTTTAAAAAGGAAGGGGTAATAATAATAGCTTTAGTGCTTCCTCATAGGGTTGTAGTGAAGATCAAATTAAGATAACATGCATCAAGTGCTCCAGAAACTTTACAGTGCTATACAGGTTTCACTTATATCTGCTGGTACATTGAAGGGTAATATAAAGATGTTTATAAACATCTGATTGTGTCCTGACACAATTTGGCTCTGGTACTAAAGCGGATGAGGGGTCTCTGTCTTTATTTCCAAAATCATCAGACAACTTAGGAAACTGTCAAAGGTTCCCAAAATCTCACAATTCTATTCCAGACACATATAAAGTAAGTCAGCTTCATCAAGATAAGCCAATATTGTGATATTTTGACATTTGGAAGACAGCTACTACACCATAAAATAATACAATTACATAAGCAAAATACAAAATTCAAAATCCTCAGTTTTTAATTCAAAGCTCTGCACAATCCAGCCCCAACCTCTATTTTCCACCTGAAGTGCTATAATGAAAAGCTACTAGATATATAGTTATGGAAATGAGGTTCAAATTTTGTCTCTTCTACTTATGATCTATGTGATCTTGAGCAAGTGGCATTTTCCTGGGCCTTTCCAGCTCTAAATAATATAATCCTTTAGAAGGAAAATAGTGGCATGGAGTAGAAATAAGAGCACTAGAGCTGAAATAAGAAAAGCCTGGGTTCCAGTCCTTGTTCTGTCACTTATTTATGGGGCCTTAGGCAAGCTGCTTAATTTCTCTGAACCACAGGAATAATAGTTATACTTATTCCTTACGCAGTTGTGAGAAAAAGTACTTTGCAAACTTTTAAATACTATTTAAATTATTATTATAAGAATCTTATGTCCTAGTCAAAGTGGGTTACTTCCTTTTCTTTTTTTAATTTTTTCTTTTTTTTTTCCCTTTTCTACCTGTCAAAATCCTATATATCCTTTAAGACCAATCTCAAAAATCATCTTCATGAAAGCTTTTCTGATCTCAGCCAAATGATATCTCTCTCTTGTCTGGATTCCAATTGTACTTTGTTTCTATCTCTCCTAAGGCATCTGTCTTACCCATCATAATACATTTTAACGCTCATTGAGAGCAGAAAACTTTTGTAATTCCTGGGGTGCCCTGCAGTAGGTGTTCAATAAATATTTGTGAAATATTCAAATATATATTTTTAGAAATTGATCCAACACAACATCTGAAAAGAGACAAAACTATCAAGAATTGTAAGACTTAAAAGTAATTTCTAGGCAACAAGTGCTAACCTATCAGATCCTTGTTCTGCATAGAGCTTGGTGAGGTTTTACAACTTCTTACAATCCAACTTAAAATTTTGAGCTTACATGCCATTAAGAAATTTGGCACCTAAAGCTAAAATGCATTTAAGTTACTGCATAGCTATTTGATCCTGGGCAGTGTGGTATAAAAGAAATAATACTGAATTTAGGTGACTATGTTTCTAGTTTTCTCTTTACTATCTAAAGTTCTATCCTCAAGGGCTGTTCTTTCATTTGTAAAGATATCAACTAGATCACCTCTAAAGTCATAGAATCATATAGAGCTGGACTTTTATTAGCTGTTTAGTCCAGAAAGGGGTGCTTAAACTATTTTGTGTCCTGGATCCTTCTGACAGTATGGTGAAGCCTTTCTCAGAATAATACTTATTTCCTATATTCATAACTGAAATTCTAATCTAACCCCCTCGCTTCATAGTTGAAGAGACCTGGTCCCAGCAACATTAAATGACTTGTACAAGATGATGCAGGTAGTTAAAAGCAGAGCCTGGATTAGATCTCAGTTCCTCTGACTCCAAATACAGCACTATTTCCACTATATCACATTGCCCCTTAGGTTCCTTATAGTCCTGAGATTTTTTTTATACATTGAAAGGCTGGACACATATCCATGAGAGTATTTCAAGGATTTGTGATTTCATCAGTATAAGTATTTTCATTGACAAATACAGGCATACCTCATTTTGTTGCCCTTTGCTTTATTGCACTTCACAGATACTATATTGTTGTGTTTTATTTTCAAATTGAAGGTTTATGGCAAATCCTTGTACTGAGCAAGTCAATCAGTGCCATTTTTCCAACAGCATATGCTCACTTCATGTTTTCGTGTCACATTTTGATAATTCTCACAATACTTCAAATGTTTTCATTATTATTAGATCCATATGGTAGTCTGTAATCACTGCTCTTTGATATTACTATTGTAATTGTTTTGGGACACTCTTAACTACTTAACTGTATATGTAGTGTGTGTTCTGACCGTTCTACCCATCGGCCATTCTCCCTTTTCTCTCACTGTCCTTGGGCCTCTCTATTCCCTGAGACAAAACAATACTGAAATTAAGCCAGTTAATAACCATACAATGGCCTCTTAAGTGTTCAGGTGAAAGGAAGAGATAATAAATGCAGCAAACTTCACTGTTGTCTTATTTTAAGAAATTGCCATAGCCATCACAACCTTCAGCAACCACCACCTTGATTAGTCAGCAGCCATCAACATCAAGGCAAGACCCTCCAATAGCAAAAAGATTATGACTCACTGAAGGCTCAGATGATGGCTAGTATTTTTTTAGCAATAAAGTATTTTCCATTAAGATATGTACATTTTTTAGACACAATACTACTGAACATTTAATAGACTACAATATAGTGTAAATATAACTTTTATGGACACTGGGAAACCAAAAAATTTATGTGACTCACTTTATTACGATATTTGCTTTATTGCAGTGGTCTGGAACTGAACCTGCAATTTCTCCAAGATATGCCTTTATCGAAATCCTTCTATGTCTTAGTAGACTGAGTTTTAATTACTATGCACAAAAATCCTGTGGCCAATAGAGTAATAACTTTTCCTGAACTTAGCTATCCTGTTCCTCAGATGGCAGAAGTATATAATTCATTACAAAGTCTACATACAAAGCCCTTTCAGTTTGTACACAAACTCTGAGTTTTAATACACCTTCTATTCTTCTAGCCCAATCCTCAAGAAACCATATGTATTACTTTGATGGTAGAAGGAGGCACTGGAAGTGGACATGAGTACACTCTAATATTGATTAGAACATTAAGACAAAGATGTTACAGGCCTGATAGGAGCCACAGTTTGTCTATTGGGTCCCTTAAATGTTTCTGATGGGGTGCTTGGGTGCTTGTGCTTGTACTTGTACCCCAATTTCTCCCTAGTCTCAGAAACACTGTCTCTGACAACCATTCCCCAGCCCAAGGACACTGTGCCTAGCAGTTATTAATGCATGGGCCTCAGCATGACCCTTATATCTCTCCCTGGTACAGCTACACAGAGCTGGGCTGCTCAGGCCCCAGCCCTCAGATCATGTCTCTGGAAGCCTACCGATTCCTTAGCAAGTTCCTGTCTTGTGAGAAAGCTTTCCCTTGTTGTAGAGCATTCTCTCATCAAAACAGAGGGAGAGGGGTGCCTTGCCCAGCCCAAGGAGTTTTGTCCTTGGCCAGCCCAAGGACTCTTCCTCCTGCCAGACTCTGTCATCTCCCTCCCTGTCCGGTATACTCCCTGTACTTTCCCATCCACAGCCCCCAAAGATACCTGCACCTTTGGATTACCTCATCAGTGTCACTGGCATTTCTTTCCCATGCTCTTTTCCATATAAACCCTAGCTGCATTCTCAGTCTCTCGAAGGATCCTTTAAGAATCCTTGCCCGCTGAAAAGCATAACAATAAACTTTGCCACCTTGGCTTAAAGAATGCTTGAGTCTGTGAATTCATTCCAGACGACCAGTCCGGTACTTCGGTCTTTGAGGGGTCACACCTCTCAACCTCTTACACTGCAACATTTCCATAATTAAATTTTTTTGGTAACATAACTTTGCAAGTGATATTTGATTTTTTTCATGAATGCTATCTCCCCACAATAGATTATAAATCCTTTGAGGGAAGAAACCATATAAATCCCAAGTGTTTACCACCTTATTGCACAGACAGTGAAAATCAACACTATCAACCTAGGCCATACAGTCACATTTTCTTCTTGTCTATTATGTACAGCCTTCAGGCAGCACAGCCTATCTCAATGTTCTGGCCCTTGGAATCAAAGCATATACTATCAGGGTCAACTTCATAAGCAGAGAATTGTAACCTCTCTTTACATATGTTAGGCATCCACTGGCAGTTTGACTTTGATCAATATTCATTAGTGAATATGCTAACGATAATTCTATAGGATACACTGAAATAAAACTTTTTAAAAGGAATGTTGAAAAGATTCTTTAGTAGGATATTCCCCATGTCTATAATGCTAATTACCTTGGTTTCTATGGATTGATTCTGCTTCTCAAGTTCAAGTGGGCTTTCGTCATCTTTCTTCTCTTCCAGAGTGGCTTTCATTTCAATGTGTTCTTCTTCCAACAAAAGCAAGGGGTTCCTACTTGAAGTCCTGCAATGACTATTTACAGTATTTCCTCTGCAGATATTTGTCATGGGTACAGAGGAACTGGTAGCTAATCTGTCCTTTTCTCCATTTGATAAACTATTATAGATGGCAGATTCCAAAGTTTGGATGTTAGCATCAGAGCTAACATCGAGGAATTTATTGTCTTCACATTCCATCTGTTTTTGTGCTCCAATCACACCATTGGCTGTGTGTTTCTGTACATCCTGAGTTTGGTCTGTATTGGTTTCCTGTTTCCGTATTGGATATTGAGATAGGAGTTTTGGCTGAAGGACTGTTGTTAATCCATGTCTTCCTTCAGCTCTAGAAACAGTTTGACTAACAGAAGGTTCTTTCTTCAAATCAGTAGAATTGGATGAGGTGCTAAAAGACAGAATACAGGGGAAGCATGTAAACTTGGGAATGGAAAAATTCTAGCATAAAGGAATGCTTGTTTTAGTTAGAAATGGATATTTATGCAACCTTGCTTCATGAGAACCTTTTTTTGTTCTTTCCAATCTCAGAAGCATTAATCAGAGAAAACTGATAGTACTAAAGCTTTATGCCATACTTATACACTTAAATTTCCCAGTCCAGAGTAATTCTCAAACTATGAACCATTTCTTTGAGTAGTAAATTCCTATTTTAATTAGCAAAATTTTCTAGTGAAGTGAAATGTAGATGAGAAAAAAATATACAATGTTTAAGTATATAAGTAATTAGAAAAGATACAGAGCAGTCAATTGCCAATTCTCAGATATAATGTCCCAGAAGTTTCTTTTTGAGGTACTTTGGAGCTCAGAACCCATTCTCCCACCTGAAAGAACATTATATATGATGGTTAAGCTTCCCAGGCCAGGCCACAAAACCTATTTAACCCATAATATCCTTGAATGTAATACTGTACTACAGTGTCTCTATGGGAAGGTGAATTCACAATTCTACAGTACTATGTAAATGTCAACCTTACTATGTCAATAAAATATTTTTCACACCTGGCAGTAAACAAAGGTCCCAAATTCTGAGATGATTAAGTACCTAATTGTTAATATTGGGGAAACACAGCATTTATCTCTTCCTGAAATCTTATTCTTTACTAGGCCAAGACGCATTTGAAAGACATGGCTGATAAGGACCCTGAATTAACTTTCTCCTCAAACCTGTTCAGACCCCACCCAGGTGGGGAAGCCCATTGCATTCTACTCAGGTTTGGGTGGGGATAAATTCTTTGATTAGATTGCCCAAGGCTGGGGGTGATTTGGAAGTAAACGACCTGATCAAAGTTACATCCCACAGTCCCTCATTAGAATAGGTCCACCTCTCCTTCTTATAATATTCATTGTTAACCAATCAGAGTCATTGCCACCCTTAGGAACACGCACTCTTCCAAGGGCATATGAGCATTGAGTGGGTTCCATAGGGGTCTTTGGCATACCAGAGTGCTACTGACCCCTTTTATTAATTATATGCTAGCATGATTAATAAAATGATTAATTACAAAGAAATTGTGTCTCTCAAATTTTTAAATGTCACAATTTAAACTAGTGGTGGCTTAGGTGACCTAGAATAGAGCTTTAGGAGGGGTAAGATTAGAAGAAGTTTAAAGGAAATCAAGAGATGAGGAATTGGTATGGGGACCTGAGAAGAATGGGGACTGGGGGGAGTAGTTTTGTGAAAACAAAGGGATAAAGGGTGTAAGAGAGTGAGTGAGTGAGTGAGTGAGTGAGTGAGTGAAGAGGGACCCAGGGATTTAGTGACATAAATAAGACAAGATCTATCTTGCCACTGCTTAGGGCTAATTTTAGAAATAAGAGAAAGGGGAAAAAAAGAACCATGGCTTGGGGGTGGGAGTGGCAATGGTACTAAGCAACAGCTATGTTTGTGAGCAGTAGAGAAAGGAGAATTACTCTTGTGTTTACACTTGTATAAATTTGGGTCTACATGAATAAATGTGATTTATTTAAACAGGGACTTCCTTTTTGCCCCTTCAATCAATAGCAAAGAGAGAAAATTTCATGCAGATAGACATTGGCTTCTTATAGGCATGTACTCCAACAAAAGTGTGCCTGTATAAATATCAACAGGAATAAACTAGCCTGGCCACAGTTCTTCATCATTTCTACTCATTACCACACCCTAAGGAGCTCTTAGCTCATCCTAGAAGGCTGTAGGTTTATCTCAAAACTACATTCAGAGAACCAGGTCTGCCACTTAACTGCCTCAGAGGTTACTCTTTAGGTCTATACAAGCTCTTAGGTGGTTCCTGGAAAATCAAACCAAACTAACTTCTCTTTTATCTGTTATGCCAAGGTTCCTCTGGTCCATGTTCTAAGAACACTTAAGGTTTGGGGGAAGATACCTCTGTGTTCTGCATTTAGGGTGGGCTATATTCTGTAATGATTGCTATTATAACAATACTTTACATTTGCACAGTATTTTAGTATTTTTAGAGCAATTCAGCATATGATTAGGGCACCTTTTCAGTACTGACAGGAAGCTGATACTTCCTACCCAACTCCTAATGGTAACATGGGGCCTGACTGACTACTGGGCATTTTTACTAGCTGTCCGCCATGACTAGAATGCTCTTCCTGCTCATCTCTGCCTTCTGATTTCTCTCGGTTCCTTCATATCACAGCTAAAACCTTTCTTGGTCTCCCTTTATTCTAGAGCTTTCCTTCTGTTGATTACTTCCAATTTGTCCCATACATAGCTTGTTTGTACATAATTGTCTGCATGTTTTCTCTTTCATTAGCCTGGGAGCTTTTTTTTTTGTATCCCCAGAGTTTAACACACTGCCTGGCACATCACAGTCTCTTAAGAAAAGTTTACTGACTGACTTACCTCCTCAGCTATATATAGTGTTATTATATGTCCAAAAGGACTTAAGTATACTTTACTCTTGCACAGAGAGGACCCTGAGTTACTGAAGTCTATTTTAAGTCCTGGCAGGTTGTAACATCTGAAATGTAAATAATCTGATTCTTAACAAAGACCTCAGTTCTTCGGAGGCAGAACAAGTATTTATGTATTTTATCTATGACCTGAAGGTCAGGAAACATAAGTGGTCGGTCCTCGGCTGTTAGAGGACTGTACTTAAGCTGTAGAGTCCACTTCAAGTCTTTTGACACCCAAGTTAAGTAGTCTTTGTATTATACCATACTGCTTTCCATGGACTGGAAATACATAACACATTGCTGCCTCCCTGAGTTTCAAACTATGAGGAAAAGCAGCAGCCCTTCTGATCTACTGGAAAAAATCTAACAGCCAAATCTAAAAATGATTAAAACTACAGTTGTCAATCTTATAATAAGAAACAGGCATAGGTTTAAAAATAAATTCCCTCACTTCAACATTTATATATAACAACCACAATTGTAAAATACTTCACATACAAAACACTATTTCATTGGATCATCACAACAATCTTGGGAGACAGGTGCTATTTATAATCCTTATTTTACAGATGATGAAATGGAGGCAAACAGTTTTAAATGACTTGCCTAGACTCACGCAACCATTATGTATCTGAGGTTGGATTTGAACTGGAATCATTACTGACTCCAGGTCCAGTGCTCTATCCACTCATACACCACCTAGCTGCCTTAAAAAATACCAAGGAAACAACAATGTAAAGCCATTAAAAATATCTTGATTTAAGGTGGTAGAGACTATCTCCCAAATCAGAGAAAACAGTCTAAGAATGATGTATGCAGTTTTGATGGAAAGTTAGTTCTTCCTATCCAACTTTCTGTGGTAACAGTGCCTGGCTCAACTACTCCAACAAACACTACATGTTACTTTTTTTAGCTTCCATGACACTATTAAAAAGTTGAAACTTAAACTACAAAACACATGTAAATATCAAGTGTCTGTTTCTCATTTAGTGAGGTGCTCATACAACTCTTTCATGTTTACTTCATTAAATATTCACCTAATCCACCCAGACATTTTACAGGAAATTCCTACTTCAAAGAAAGATTGTGCTAAAATTCTATACAGACATATGTATATAAATTCTCAAATATACATGACTATGTCCAAAAGTCCTAATCTTGATACCTCATTACACTGAGGAGGGAACTTGAAATTCATGAAGGTTACATTAATGCAGTATAAATTCTTGTAGGTTCTATAAGATGGAATAGTGACAGATTTTTTTTCCTACTCTCTGAGGATATAACTAAGTATAGAGAGGTGAGGTTCCTCACAGGAAGGTTGGACAGCAAGCAACTAAGTTTTTTGTCCACAGTGACCAATTAATTGGATGAAAATACAAAAAGATCCTTAGAATACTTCAACTAGAGTACTGGTGGTGGAGTATCAGAAAAGAGGGTGGTAGTGACAAATAGTGTTATGAATCAGTATAATTTTTAGAAATATTAATTTAATAAGCCAGAATGATACAAAGCTAGGGTGGCATGGAAGGGATTCAATTTGCACAGGTGAAAGATAACTGACACTGATAATCATAATCCATCACAGTATCCAAGATATATAAGTGTACTGGGGAGAGGGATTGTTTATAGATAAAGGAAATGCTGAACCCATAGTATATCTGGAATTCAGCAAGGTATTTGACAATATCTCTCATGATTTCCCAGGAGACAAGGTAAAGAGATGTGAATTGGATGATGTTACATTTAGGTGGATTTGTGATCTATGAGCAAGGACACCAAAAGAATATAGGTGTTAATGCATCAATACTGGCTTCTGGGGAGATATTTAGCAAAATTACATACAATTCTTTGTTATTGGACTTGTCTTTTGAGGGTTTTTCTTTTTAAATCTTGCATGAAATCATTAATTCACTTAACGAATCTGTAAATTGTCATGATAACCTAGAAGAGTGGGCTAAATGGGAAAAAGAAAAGGAAATAAGCATTTACTAAGAGTCTACTATGTGCCAGGCACTGTGAAAAGTACTTTACAAATATTTCATTTGATCTTCAAACAACCCTGTGAGGTAGATGCTATTAATATCCCAATTTTATAGTTGAGAAAATCGAGGCAGAGAGAGGTTAAAGTGACTTGCCCAGAAATTGAAATTAGCTCTTCCTCTAATCACTGCACCACCTAGTTGCCTCAAAAGCTAGTACAATAAAATTAAATACAAATAAATACAAAGCACTCCAATTGGGTTAAAAAAATCAACAGCTTAAGAAGAGGTAAGATACAAAGTAGTTTACATGAAAATTTTGTAGGATTTTTATACACTATGTATCAGAACTATGATGTGGTAGCCAAAAAAATGAATGTATTCTTAGGATAAATTAACAGAAATATTGGTTTGACAGGAAATAAAATGATCATCTTACCATACTCTGATGTAGTATTACATTTTAGAAATGCTCACAGGCCCTTGATTGTGTACTGAGAATGGA